TCTTGTCCCTTTGGGTGTGCTAGGGACACGGGGTACGATTTAGGAAGATGCTGTCTGTTCAGGCAACGTCGCAGTACAAGTTCTGCCGCTACAACAGACGATCACAGACTGCACAAGAGATAAGCCGAAGTGTACTGCGGCTCGTGGTCAGGGGGCTGGCATCTGGAAACTGACCCTCACATCAGGAGAAAAAAGGGAGAGGACCATTCATTCTCTCCATTCCCCCTCTCACCCCCTTCCTATACTGGTACTAGAGCCTGGATGCAGGGCCTGGGCACTGTCCCTTACTTTTTCCATTCAAGGCTGGTACTCTACTTTGAAGCCACTGTTCTCCTTCTGGCTTAAGGCAGGAAAGTTCATGAACCTCTTATCTCCAATTAAGCAGCAAAAAATTAGAAGTGGAGCTGTGGCTCAAATGGTAGGGTGCCAGCCTTGCGCAGAAAAGTCAAGGGAGGTGAGAGCTCCTGAGTTCAAGCCCCAGTAGCAGGATAAGAAAACCTAGTGCAAAAAGAGGGCTGGAGGTGTGAGTCAACAGTAGAACATCAACCTAGCAAGTGCATGGCCCTGAGTTCAAACTCTAGGCATATATCTAAAACAAACAATGCAAGTCACCATCCTCCTCCTCCTCTCCCTCCTCCTCCTCCTCCTCCTCAATGAGCATGTACTTCTGGGATCAGGCAGAAGTGCACAAGCAGAAATCACTTACTGAGAGTCATCAGACAAACCCAGATTGAGAGACAATCAGCAAAATAACAAGCCTACACTCTTCAAAACAACAGTGTGGTAAAGGACGAAAGATGGACAGACCGAAGGCGAAGAAAGCAACATGAAAAGTAGGTCAACAGGTAAGCTGGATTTTCTTTGCTTTCCTGTCTCAGGACACGGCTCCGATCATGAACAAGAGCTCAGCCACGTCCACCAATCAGGTGACAGAACGGCTCCCGCACTGCAGCCAGTGCTTGTGCTGACGAAGGTGGCTGTGCCTGTCCTCCACATACACGCTGAAATACTGGGGAGTGAGGGGCATCGTGTCCCCTCCAGAATAAAAGTAGCTGGAGCAGACACTGCTACCATCGTCAAGTGTTCGTATCTGGGAAATCTGGAAAGCCAAAAGTAAACTATTATTGAAATTATGATTGTGATTATTTTTTAAATAGGGTCTCACTATGTTAATGAGGCGGGCCTAGAAGTTGCTCTGTAGTCCCAGGTTGGCCTTAAACTAGATTCCTCTGTCTCAGTCTCCCCAGTGCTGGGATTACAGGCATGAATCACTTTGCCTGGTGTGCTTGCTTTGCTTTCCTTCTTTCCTTCCTTCCTTTCTTCTTCCTCCTCCTCCTCCTTCTTTGTTGCTTCTGAGGATTGAAGCTAAGGCCTTGTTCATGCTAGGCAAGAAGTCTATCACTGAGTTACACACCTAGTTCTGTTGAAATCTTAATTTTAAAAAGTGGTCTCGTCCAAGAGTGAAGATAGACTCAAAAAGAGACGGCTGAGAGCAAGGGAAGGGGGACACCGTCCAAAAAGAAACGTACCCTTTACCTGACTTAGATGACTGCAAGCCCTCTGTGCATCACCTGTATAGTAACTACTTTAAAAAAATTAAATGCCGGGTGCTGGTGGCTTGTGCCTGTAATCCTAGCTACTCAGGAGTCTGAGACTTTCAAAGCCATCTGGAGAAGGAAAGTCAATGGGACTCTTACCTCCAATAAATTACTCAGAAAAAGCCGGAAGTGGTGCTATGACTCAAGTGGTATAGCACTATCCTTGAGCAAAAGAGCTTAGGGACAGAGCCCAGGCCCTGAGTTCAAGCTCCACAACCAACCCCCCCCCCCCCCAAAAAAAAAAAAAAAAGAAAAGTGCTGGCTGGGAAGGTGGCTCAGTGGTAGAGCGCTTGCCTTGCATGCATGAGGCCCTGGGTTTGAGTCCTCAGCACCACATAAGCAAAAAGAAAAAAGCCGGAAGTGGCGCTGTGGCTCAAGTGGTAGAGTGCTAGCCTTGAGCTGAAGAGCTGAGGGACAGCGCCCAGGCCCAGAGTTCAGGCCCCATGACCAGAACCCCCCCCCCAAAAAAAAAAGAAGAAAAACAAAAACGTGAGAGAAGTCTGCACAGGGGGTCAGAAGTAGGCTCCACCACCTGGCCATGTGGCCAGGGGTGTGTCCTTGCTGTGGGTGGAGGGAAAGCAGCCTGCTCGTCTGGTTGGGTTACTGTCCAATGCACCCGGGAAGGGCCAGGTGCAGCACCTATAAAATCCCATCGGGGAAGGGCAACGCAGCTATCTGTTTTGGAGCTGTGAGGAACCACAGGGGGTGTGTGTGTGTGTGTGTGTGTGTGTGTGTGTGTGTGTGTGTGTGTGTGTGTGTGTGTGTGTGTGTGTGTGTGTGTGTGTGTGTGTGTGTGTGTGTGTGTGTGTCTGCTTGTGCAGTAAGGCTTGAACTCAGGAACCACAGGGTGTGTGTGTGTGTGTGTGTGTGTGAGTGTGTGTGTGTGTGAGTGTGTGTGTGTGTGTGTGTGTGTGTCTGCTTGTGCAGTAAGGCTTGAACTCAGGGCCTTAGCCCTCTCCCTTAGCTTTTCTGTTCAAGGTTGGAAGTCAACCATTTGAGCCACATTCCCTCTTCTGGCTTTTTGGTGGTTAATTGAAGGTGAGAATATCGCAGACTTTCTTGCCTAGGCCAGCTTCAAACAGCAATCCTCAGATCTGAACCTCCTGAATAGCCAGGATTACAGTTGTAAGCCATGCTTAGTATTTTCTTATTAATGAGAAAATGGAACCTCATTGTCATAACTTGTTACCATTTTGACTAGTAATGAAGTTAGACTTCTTTTTCCATATATGTTTCTTAACTGCTGTTTACTATTTTGGTTGATTCTAGCCTTCTCTGTACATTTTTTCAGGACATTTGCGGTTGTTTTTTGTTTTTTTTTTTAAAGAAAATCAATGCCTAAGAACTTTTTATAAAATAAAGATACCCATCATTTTAAAAATACTTTCCAAGGCTGGAAGGTTTGAAGAGGATTGATTTTTAAGCAGTCCAAAATGGTCAGCCACCGGATGGTGGGCTAGCCTGTGCCCGGCCAGGACTCCTACGCTCTCAGCAGCTTCAGCAACCGCTAATCATCTCCAGCCAGGAACACGGCGAGCTGGGAGGATCTGGGTCAATAAATGAACCCGTAAGACCATTTTTACCAATTCCTTCAAACTTTGTCTTCCCTAGAAGGCAGACTTCCCAAGTGATTACCTGGAAAACCCTTTTGAAAGATCCTTGATGAGATGTGGACAAAAAGAACCCTACTCAGGTTTGTTGGGAAATTGGTCTGCTATTGGAGCCACACCATGTTCTGTTTATCCCTTTAAAAGTAAACTATAAGCCAGGCATCCATGGCTCATGCCTATAATCCCAGCTACTCAGGAGGCTGAGATCTGAGGATCATGGTTCAAAGCCAGCCCAGGCAGGAAGGTCTGTGAGACTCTTAACTCAAATTAACAACCAGAAGGCCAGAAGTGGCATTGTGACTAAAAATGGTAGAGTTCTAGTATTGAGTAAAAGAGTTCAGGGACAGTGCCAAGGCCCTGAGTTCAAGCCTCATGACCAACAAGAATAAATACACAAACAGACTGTATTCTGCCAGTGGCTCATACCTGTGATCCTAGCTGCCCAGGAGGCTGAGAGATGAGGATCATGGTTCAAAGCCAAGGCAGAAAAGTCCATCAGACTTATCACCAACTAACCAGCAAAAAAAAAAAAAAAGCTGGAAGTGGAGCTGTGGCTCAAATGGCAGAGCACCAGCCTTGAGCAAAAAAATCTAACTGACAGCATTCAGGTCCTGAGTTCTAGCTTTTCTCCGTCTTTCTCTGACTCTCTGTCTCTCCATGTCTCTCTCTTTCTCTCTCTTACACACACATGCACACACGGGGTGGGGGTGGGGTGTTAAGGGAGAAAGAGCAGAGTTCTTGCAAAGAAAGGCCTGGTCCTGGGTTCCTCCAGAAGGAGCCATGAGCTCTTATGTTCCAGCTTCCCTTGAACCCACACCAATGCCGGCTGCTCTCCCATAGAGTCCCGGGCCGCTTCTCTCAAGGGGCCCCTGCAGATCCCAGCCGCAAGTCTGAGTGACAAGGTGTAAAGATCTTTCCCTGAACAGCTGAGAACCCGGTCCCTGGGCTGGACACAGGAGGTCAAGTGACTTCCCAGTGTGGGGCCTCGGCGTGTGACACCGGGTGACCCGTGTCTGCCTTGGAAAGCGCTCAAGGACCTATAATTAGGGTTGTCTCCGGTGCTCGGATCCGGGGGGGCCGAGAAGAGGAAACCAGCCCGGGGTTCCCGCTGTCCCTTCGGCACAGGACACCACGAGCACTTGGGATTCTGAAGTTACAGGGGTGGGGCTGGCCTTCTTCCCTGGAAAGGGTGAACCTGCTGACGGGCCTGACTCCGGCCGGGGAAGCCTCGGGTGTCGGGATCCTGGGGGCCAGAGGCCGCTGGTGGCCGCTCCCGGACCAGCCCCTGGCGCTGACCTCGCCCTCAGGGCTCCGGGGTCCCAGGACCACCAAGATGCAAACGCCTGAGACTGGGGTCTGCAATCCAGAAATGGCCAAATTCAAAAGGGCCGATTCTGTGCTTTTTTCCAGTTCTCCAGGCGATACAGCCCGGGCCTGCTTCTCCCCGCGGGCATCCGAGATGACCAAAGCAAAGCGCAGGAAGGGAACAGGGCACAGGCAGCCCCCGGTTCGACGCCACCCGGGCCCGGCTCCGGGGAGAAGCTGCCCCCCCCCCCCCACTGCAGGAGGCCCCGAGGGGCGCTGTCGGATGGAGTCCCAGCCAGGGCGCCCCTCGGCCTCTGGGGCCAGCCCGGCGTCCTTCCCCGGGGCAGGGCCCTCCCCCCATCCCCGGGCGCCCCACCGAGGCCAGGCCGCCCCAGGGGGCGCAGCCGTCGGAGGGCGGCCGGCGAGGCCCGGCGGAGGCGGACCGGGGCGGGCGGGGATTGGGTGGGAATGGGCGCCGTCCACGCACCTGACGCCGTGGAAGGCCCAGAGCAGGCGGTCGGCGCCGGGCCCGCGCACGGCCCGCACGATGGTGAGGTAGAGGTAGAGGGCGATCGCCACGGTCCAGAAGAAGGAGCTGGTGTTGGCGAAGGAGGAGAGCGCGCCCTGCAGCACGCAGTCCCACGAGGAGCCCGCGAAGTCCCGCAGCGCCCCGTAGAAGTAGGAGGCGGCCGAGAGCAGGTCGGCCAGCGACAGGAAGAGCAGCAGGCGCCGCGCGCGGCTGCGCAGGTCCGGCCACAGCGCGTGCGTGGCCACCAGCAGCGCGGAGCCCAGCGCCGACAGCGCGCACGACAGCAGCACCACGGCGCGCTCCGACGGCAGCAGGACGGTGGGCGGCGCGGGGGGCCGCATGGCGGGCCGGGGCCCCGGGCCCGGAGGGGCCGGAGCAGGCCGGGCAGGGGCCGGGCGCGAGGGCGCCGCGAGGAGGCCGGACAGCGGGAGCTGCTGCCGCAGCCGTCTGGGCGCCCGGGCGCCCCTGGCTCCCCTGCCGGAGTCCGCCCCGCCCGCGTCCCGGCCCCTCCGCCCATCCGGGCAGCTGCCCCGCCGCTGAGCGCCCCGGTTCCCGCCCCGCCCCGCCCCGCCCCGGTAGGCTCGGTGCCCCGCCCTGGAGCAACGCCTCTACTCGGTCTCAGCGTCGCTCCTGACGCCCGGCCCCGACGCCCGCTCCTGACGCCCGCCCCCGACGCCCCGCCCCGACGCCCGTCCACGCGGCTAGGCTCTGCCCCCTCCGCCAAGCTCCGTGCCCCGGCCCCGCCTCGTCCCGCTCCGGCCCCGCCTCGTCCCGCTCCGGCCCCGCCTCGTCCCGCTCTGCTCTGCCCCGGACCTCGGCCCCGCCCCGGGCCTCGGCTCCGCCCCCTTCCCCTCCGCACGGACCTAGGCCCCGCCCCTCCTACTATACCCCAGTCCTCGGCCCCGCCCCTCGGCCCCTCCTCCCGAGCTTAGGGCCCGCCCCGCCCCTCCCTCGGCCCCGCCCCTGGTCTCTGCCCGCCTCTCCGCCCCCACAGCCCGCCCTTCAGGCTTCCCCCACCCTGCCCTGCCCTCCCTCCAAGCCCTGAGCCTCCTCCCTGCACCCCGGCTCCCCCTATGGCCCGGACGCCCTGCTCTGCCGGGCAGGATGGCGTGTTAGTGGCTGTTGAGGGCAGATGTTCCTCCCCCCCCTCCAGCCTGGGATGGGCGCCGCGCTGGGGACATTCTTTCCCGGGTGACAAGAACAACTCCCGGGAGAGGCGCGGTCCTGAAGCCCGACGGCTCCCAGTGACCTGGGGTGTGCCCAGCTCCTCCGCGATGGACATCCAGGGCTGGGTGTGAGCGAGTGTGTGTGTGCGTGTGTGTGTGCTTCTTTTTACTTTTGAGCCTCAGTACACGCCCCAGCAATGTCCACTGCGGCTAGGCCTTGTTCTAGTTGGAAGAGACAGAGCAGTAACAATGAACGGGAGAAAGCCTAAGCGCCGCGGGTATTTTTGGTGCAATATCATTAGATAGCAGACTTCTGTGTTTTTCTAATGTAACTTTCTCTATTAGCAGAAGAAGTTGTACAAGGAGGGGTTCCTGTGACACTTCCACCTATAAATACAATGCAGCCCCTCGGCCTCAGCCCATCTACCAGCCTCCCTGACTCCTCTCCCTGTCTTTACTGCATGAAAATTTGCCTGTTTGGGAGAAATGTGTATTTCATTGTCTTCCTTATCTTTAAATTGATCTTTTTTTAATGTTAACTTGTAACAATTTTTATATATACTCTGGATGTGACAGATATTTGTGGGTGTGTGTGGGTATGCACACACACACATGCATTCACATACCAGTCCTAGGGCTTGAACTCAGAGTCTGGGTGCTGTCTGTTAGCTTTTCTACTCAAGATTGGCACACTACCACTTAGGCCACAGCTCCATTCCTGGCTTTTTGGTGGTTCATTGGAGATAAGAGTCTCAAGTACTTTCCTAGCCAGGCTGGCTTTGAACTAGATCCTCAGATCTCAGCCTCTTGAGTAGCTAAGATTACAGATGTGAGCCATTGATGCCAAGCAGAAATAAGTTTTGCAAATATTTTCTCCTATTCCATGGGTGGTCTTTTCACTTTCCTCATGGTGTACTCAAAGGTCAAAAGTAGGTCTGCAGAGCCGGGCACCATAGCTCACACCTCATGCTACTCAGGAGGCCAAGATCTGAGGACTGCAGTTGGAAGCCAGCCTGAGCAGAAAAGTCTACAAGACTCATCTCTGACAAACTACTCAGAAAAGCCGGAAATGGAGCTGTGGCTCACTAGCCTTGAACAAAAAGAAGTTCAGGGACAGAGTACAGGCCCTAAATTCAAGCCCCAGGACCAGCAAAATAAAATAAAATGAAATAAAGTAGGTCTATAGTGTAGCTCAATGGTAGAATTCTTGTCAGGCAACATGCAAAGCCCTGGGTTTGTTCCCCAGCACCAAGAAGAAAAACAAAGAATGAAGTACATATATTTTTACTTTAGGATAGCCAAATGATCTCCCCTCCCCCCACTTTTTTAAAGTGGAGCCTTGCTTGCCTTTCTGGTGTCACAACTAAGAAACCATTGCCTAATTCAAGCTCATGAAGACTTGCAGAAGACTTGCAACGTGTTTTCTTCTCTCCTCAGCACCACAGTCTTCATTACTGTAGCTTTTTATTTTTTTTAATTTGTTTCATTTTCTCCAGTTCCGGCACGGAACTAGCATTTCACACATGATAAGCAAGAGCAGGCCCACTGAGCTGCATCCCCCAGCCTCCGCAGAGCCTCGCAGTAAGGGCTGAAACCAGAAACTGAGTCAGAAAGAAAAATATTTCTTTTTTCTTTTTGTCAGTTGTAGAGCCTGAACTCTGGGCCTGGGCGCTGTCCCTCAGCTCTTCAGCTCAAGGCTAGCGCTCTACCACTTGAGCACCGCTTCCAACTTTTTCTGCTTATGTGGTGCTGAGGAATCAAACCCAGAACCTCATGCATGTGAGGCAAGCGCTCTACCACTGAGCTACCTTCCCAGTCCCAGAAAAAATATTTCTTTTTCAGTATTGTTTTGACTCTTTGAGGCCCCTTCCTGCAGAAAAGCTAGCTGGGAATTTGGAACTGCCTTGAATCTGTAGATAAATTTGGAGAATAATGCTATCTTAATAATCTCTCCCCATGACCTATGATATCTTTTCATTTGTTTAGTTCTTGTTCTGCTCCTCCTCCTCCTCCTTCTCCTCCTCCTCCTCTTCCTCCTCCTCCTCCTTCTCCTCCTCCTCCTCCTCCTCCTCCTCCTCCTTCTCCTCCTCCTCTTCCTCCTCCTCTACCTCCACCTCCTCCTCCTCTTCCTTCTTTGGCAGTACTGGGGTTTGAGCTCAGGGACTAAGTCTCAGTCAGCTTGCTTTTTCACCTGGCTGGTGTTGTACCATTTGAGCCATGCCCCCAGTCTTTCTCTAACTTTTTTTCAACGATGTTTCTTTGGATTGGGTTTGAGTCAGGTTTGATTTTACATTTCATTCAAAGAGGGCAAAGATAATTTTTGTGTATCTAACTTTTATTTTTTGTCGGTCGTGGGGCTTGAACTCTGCACCTGGGCACTGTCCCTCAGCTCTTCAGCTCAAGGCAAACACTCTACCACTTGAGGCACAGTGCCACTTCTGGTTTTCTGGTGGTTTATTGGAGATAAGAGTCTTACAGACCTTCTTACCCAGGCTGGCTTTGAACTATGATCCTCAGATCTCAGCCTCCTGAGTAGCTAGGATTATAGGCGTGAGCCACCTGTTCCCTGCAGTATTTAACTTTTTAAATCATTAACTGGGCACAGTGGCTCACATCTGTAATCATAGCTACTCAAGAGGCCGAGATCTGAGGATTGAGGTTCAAAGCCAACTTAGGAAGATATATGTTCATGAGACTTTTATCTCCAGTGAACCACCAGAAGTGGCACTATGGCTCCAAGTACTAGCCTTGAGCAAAAGAGCTCAGGGACAGCACCTAGACCTGGAGTTCAAGCCCCATGACTGACAGAGGAGAAAAAAGTGTTCACAGTCTTTTCTCCTGTGGCTACTTTTGAACCTCAATCCTCAGCTCTCAGCCTCCTGTGTAGCTAGGTTATAGGTTTGATCCACTGGCACGGGCTCTCCTCCCTTCTTAAAAAATTTCAACAGGTTTTTTTTTTTTTTAAGGGGGGGGGATCCAGTCATGGGGCCTGAACTCTGGGCCTGGGCACTGTCCCTAGCTCTTCAGCTCAAGGCTAGCGCTCAACCACTTGAACCACAGTGCCACTTCTGGATTTTTTTCTTTTTGCTTATGTGGTGCTGGGGAATCAAACCCAGGTTCTCATGCATGCAAGGCAAGCACTCTACCACAGAGCCACCTTCCTAGCCCTTTCAACAAGTTTTATTGTTCTATTTGTATCCCTGCTTACAAATCCTTTGTTGTTGATGATCACTCTCATGGGATCTTGCTCCTGAACTCCCCATGTACCTCAGCTTCAAACTTGAGATCCTCCTGCTTCAGCCTCCCACGTGTAGAATTGCAGCCATGTGCAACTCATATCCAGTTTATATTTTCTACTTTTTCTTCAACAATTTTGGTATCACCAGGGTTTGAACTCAGGACCTCATATTTGCTCAACTTTGTTTGATCAGCTGGTGTTCTACTATTTCAGCTTGGCTTTTTGCTAGCTATTTTGGAGATGGAGCCTAGTGAACTTTTCTGTGTGGGCTGTCTTTAAACCATGACCCTTTGGATTTTAGCCTCCTGAATAGCTAGGGTTTGTAAACATGGTCTATTTAACATTATTACAAGTAGCTGTAGCTTTTCAATGCTGTATAGTATTCAATTATCTACATCAACTGCTTATCCATTCTTCTGTTTCTGGACATTTGGGTTGTTTCTAAGTGATGGCTATTATAAACAGCTGGAATGAATGCATGCTCCTTTATAATCAGGAGGGAAAAAAAAATAACTAAAAGCTATTCTCAGCAGTGTCAGCAAACATACTTGCAAGGTTTGCTCCATGAAAAACGAAAGAGCCAGATGCTTTCTTTCCAGGTCACTTTGGATTGCTTAGAAGTTCTCTGACCTCCATTTGAGGGGACCCCACAACACAAACAGATCTGACTTAGAGGTCTGTCATTGAAGCCTTTCAGCTTTGGACTGAGACGATCAGCAAATATTTTACAACTTGAATTTTGCAACCTGCCCTGGGCCCTGGCAGTCAGGGCAGGGGCATAGATGAGCTCTCCCCTCCCCCTGACAAAGATCATTTAATCTTCTGCCTGTCTGGGAACAAGGGGAGAGTGAAGAAATTCAGGAAAAGTCTGGCTAGCTGCTTTGTGTGCAGATCAAGCCAACCTGTACTTTTCTTCTCCACAGAGATGAAAGTGCTT